CACTATAGGAGATATAGATAGAAAACTTTCCTAAGTAGCTCTAGCTAGCGCTTCTACATTATCTTCCTCTGCTAATAGATACAACCTTGGTTTCTGTCGAATAATTTATGGAGTTAGGGTTAACTTAGGGTTAAGCCCTAAGCGCGACTCTCAGTGAGCACAGGCCACGCCCACGAACACCAACTCTCGACCAGACTTTATCTAATAACTTACGCTATATCTCTTGTAGTATTATAAAAGCTAGTACGTTAGATGCGCGCGAGTTATCTGTACCATATACTTAAATTACAGCTGTTTTCCATAACTGACGACTAAGGAGAAGGGTTTGTTCCAAATCTTAGGGAACAAGCCCCCTGCGAACCAAGAGCGCGGGCCACAAAAATGGAACAAAGGTTTGTTCTCTATGGAATAACTGTCAGGGGCATTACTCTACAGCCGCTCCTCTTACGAATGATATTCCTCTGCTTGCCGCCAGGACCCTTTGTAATCCTGGTATGCCCGGCGCTTAGTCGGGCGGCAAGGCAGACACATCGGGAGCATTCTTCCGAGACAATGTATATAAACTGCTCACCCTCGCACTCCTGATGAGTTTCTTTCTGTAGATTCAACAAGAAACGAAAGGTATCTCCTAACTAGAGGTATCTAGAGTATCCTTTTTACAGAAAGATCAAAATCCAATCGAGTTTATTGTCTTTACTTTTAACCCTAACCCTTTCTTTCACCCTAACCCTCTGCTTACCTAATCCCCCTGCTCCCCAAATACGGTAACCCTAACCCTGTCCTGATAAGTAGTCTCCAAGCTAAACACAAAGCGGTTCGCGCCCGGGTCTTACTATCTTCTTCTCTAGCTCCCTAACCCTATTCTTCTCCCCTTTATCTCCAAATTAAACACAAAGCAGTTCGGCCCTACTTCTACTACTTCTTCTTATACTCCCTTTCACTAGCTCTTGCCCCCCCCTAAAAAGTCCTTTCAAGTCCCCCCTATACACATGAATCGATTAGTCGATTAGTTACTCTATCTATCTAGCCCTGCCCCCCCTACAAAAGTCTTTTTAAGTCCCCCCTATACGCCCTAATCTATCCCTACTATACCTTTTCTATTACCCTCTACCTCTTACTACAAAAGTCTTTTTCACTCCCCCTATACCTTACTATTCCCTATCTATCTTCAGCACGAGTCGTATCGCTACTACTATTGCGTTCGTAAACACCTGTCCCCACACCTCTTCTCTACTCCTCCTACTAAGCCATCCTGTGTATGCCTCATCCTCTGTCTCTTCAAACCCTACCTCCCTAATAGTCTGTATCTCAACCTGTGTCAGCCGCGCTGCGTATACCAACAGTATTACTACGTTTAGCCACTAACACTAATTCTCCATCCCCTATCCTATTGCGCAGTACTTTTGACTAATCCAGCACCGCTAATAGTTATTCTTGACCGTTCGATCTATAATCTTCTTCCAGAACTTGTCAGCATCCGCCCTAGACACCCTCTCCTATGCTGAGCACCCTAGCACCTAGTGCTTCTTCCACTGCTCTTCCTCCTCTGTCTGAAACTGCTGCCTAACTACCTAGCAGATCGCACACCCACCCCGCAGCTCCGTAAATCTCTCCTCTACTACCCCCCACTCCTGTGCCTAACGCTCATGCTCCGCTAGCCACACCTCCTCTCCCTCTCTACACTAGTCACAGCACACCGCCCCAATCTCTCTACATCTTACCCCTTGCCCATCTAAGTACGAGCTTATTAACTCCCGCCGACACCCCTCTCTAATTAAAAAGACCCCTATTGCCTGTACGTCAATGTCGTCGCTCTCCCGCTCTATCCTCTTCTCCACCTCCCCCTGCTCTACCATCACCACTACCTCAAACCCCTCTCTACCCTGCCCCCTACGCCCGCTCGCCTGTGCAAAGTCTGTCATGCTCTACGGCATCCTAACATACAAGATGTACACAATCCCTGCGTAGTCCACCCCTATGCCTAGTGCTAACGTAGCCACAATTAGCCCTCCCTGCTTTACTTACTCTTATAGCCGCTCCCCTCGCTCCTCTACATCCGCGTGATAATGTGCACAGTCAATCGCCTTAGCCATTTGCTCACACTACCCTTTGCTTAGACAGTACACCACCCCCTTCTGCCTAAACTACTGCAGCTTCTTAGCCTACTACTTGCACACTACTAACGCTGTATCTTCTAATTTCCCGCGCTGACACTAAGATATAAAGTACTATGCGTTTACCTATGTTATGCTTACCTAGATGTACGTTGCGTTGCGCACTAGCATACTTACCTCTAGCTCCCCCTCCTACACTAGCGGCAGCGTTGCTGTTAGTAATATAATTAGGCATCCTAGTAGCTACAAGTTCTTTACTTTAAGTAGATTCTCTCGCTAGTGCCGTGCCGTAAACACTAAATGACACTTGTCTACTACCACCTGCTGTAGTAATCCCTTACTCCTTAATAGCTAAGCATACCCTAAAAAGTTGCTATTACTTGTCGTGTCGCCAGCTACGTTGGCGCTGACCACTACCACAGACGCTGGGTTGTTCTCGCCATAACTACTTCTATTCTATATAGTCCACCCCACACCTATAGATCTAGCTTACCAAGTCCTTGATCAACGCCTGGTACAGCACTACTACGACGGTCACCCCGTTCTCCTCAATGCATGCCGGCAGTGTAAATAGCAAGCTCTTGCCCCCTCCTGTTAGGAGCACTACCACAAGCGGCGTCTGCTTATCTAGCATAGCGTACAAAGCCTGCTCTTATTCTATTAAACAAAACCTAACGTCCTGCTTCCTTAGCACCTGCTGTAGTGCCCTCTGTATAGCCGCAGCTCGCTTGTCTTCCGCCTAAACAGCCTTCTCTTTCCGCACAATCGCCAGCCCTAAGATACTCTCTTACATCCGCCTTTTCTGCCTTCTCTAAACCTCCTCGCCTGCTTTACTCTGTCTATCTACGCCTAAGAAGCGGTGCTACGCTGTACTAAGCGCCTAGAACGCATCAATTAACTGCGTGCTGAGATGCTTAACAATATCAATTAACACGCTATAGTTGCCTACGCCTATAACAGTTGATCGTGCGTTCTGCAGCTCAAGCAAGTCCTCCTTATCCACCTCTACCTCGTCTATCTTACCTATCTTATTCTAATACCCCCTACTAAACAACTCCCCCACTATTACCCGCCTAATCCCAACTGCTATATGACGGTAGTCTAGCGTATGTAGCGCTACACCTAGCCGCTTGCCTATTTCACGCCTTAGCACCCTTGTTAGTTAATTAGTATTCTATGCCCCCTACTTATTACTCCACACGTAGTCGTCTAAACCACCACCTAGCACGCTTACTACTAGAAACTCTTATACCCACCAACTTCGAGTTTTCTGGAAACCGCTAGGAAAGCACGCTATCTAGGAGAACCGACCACGAGGAATCGACTAACAGCACTTTCAA